AGGCCTGCAGCACCTTCAGCCTCCTGGCTCCTCGCCGAGGCCCCGCTCCAGGTGGGATCCCACCCGGGAGGGCTGGGCCTGGGGCAGAGAGGGCAGGAGCAACATTAAACACACGTGAGGGCGCCTGTGTTACAAAGCTGGGAGCCTTAGGTCATGTGAATGCTGTGAGTGCGTGAGAGAGAGCGTGTGCACACCTATGTGAGGTGTATGTGCAGGTATGAGCTTGTGTGTACATGTGGAAGGATGTGTGTTTCTGGGAGTGTGTGTGTTTGTGTGTGTGTGTGTGTGTGTGAATTCTCTGTTCTGTGCCGGGTGGGCATGAGCGAAGAAGTAGCAGCCGCCTGGCAACGTCCCGCGCCTCCTCAGGACCCCATCTGTCCTCTGCACAGTGAGTATTAATGAGTGGTCCTGTGTGTCAGCCTCTGTGTCTCCGTCATGTGGGCACTGACCCTGTGTCATCGGAAGGAACTGGAGGTTGTAAGCTGTGGGTGGGGAGGCAGGCTGTCTGGAGCAGCTCCGTCTGTCAGTCTGTCTGTGTTAGGAAGCTGGGGGTGCGGGAGGCCTCTGCATAGTTGTGTGCTGTGCAACCGGGCCTGAGAAGGGAGGGTAGAGGGGAGCAGGTTTGTGGGGAGCTGCCCAGAGGAGCTGCAGGGGTGGAGGGAGTCCAGCCTGAGTCATTGCTGGGGGTTGAGGATGAGGCATGGACCAGGCTCAGGGGCTGGGACCCCAGTGCAGGGTTCTTTCCCTCATTCGGCCCAGGACCTCCTGCCGCCTGTCCAGTCCTGCCCCCAGGCCCTTTGGAGGACGTAAGCGGACAGCTGGGCATTGCAGGAGGGTCAGCGTCCTATGTCCATACCAAGAGCACCCCCGCCCCATGACCCCTGGACCTGCCACCAGCAGCAGGGCCACCCCCTACAGACAGGGGCACTGCGGGCAGCAGAGGGGCCAGGAAATGCATGTTGTCCTGTGGGTGGAGGCAGGGGCCTGCCTGAACTGGCCCGTCCAGCAATTCCTCCTGCTGGGTCCTCTGTCAGGTTCCCCGCCCTGTCTGTCTCAGGGGGGACCCCTCTGTTCACCTTGACTTTCCAGCCTCTCCTGAGCCACTCAGAAAGTGCTGCCCACCTGGGTGGTTTTAAATGCTCACCCTTTTCTTTTCTGGTGTCACTCAGGGGGTGGGGGACCTCGACTCAGGAAGTGGAGGTGCCACCATGAGAACAGAGTGCAAAGGGATGCTGCTCTCTCCTCCCCAGGGGCTGGGATTCATGCTGGATGGAGGGCACCTCGGGAGAAGGTTAGCAGATCTAGATCCCCAGGGGGAGGTTTTTGCTGTCTGTCCAGGGGGATTCCCCGTCTGCATTCTCAGTGGGGTGCAGGGGTGGCCTCCCCCCTTTGCCTTCACCAGGGACAGCACTTGAGTACTGGGGCCCCTGGGCAGGCAGGCATGGCCCTGAGGCACATAAACCGTGGGGTGGCTGCCCCGCCTGACCCTGCCCATCCCACCCAGTGCTAGCCAGCCTCGCCGCTGGAAGAGCCAGCATGGCCTTCGTGGAGCCCGGACCCAGAGGGAGATTTGCAGAGTGATAGTCCCCTGGGTTACTCACCACTGTTCCCCATGATGGTGCTGAGGAGGCCGGTGTCCTGAGTGTGACGCAGCGGGAGCCAGCGTACCCCTTTTATAGCCCCAGGAGGAAGCAGCCCAGCCCCCTGACGCCCCCCCTCGCCCCTTGGTCCCTGCCTCCCGCACAAGGTGACATCTGAGTCTTTGTTTTCCTCTATTTTTTTTTTTAAACTCTCATCAGCGATGTGATTTGTCCCTTCCTGGGTTATATAATTTCATTTGGGCCAAGTGGTTTTAAAACACATTAGCCTTCCTTCTTCACGCCCGCCTTGGGGACACGGCAAAGTCAGGTGTCAACAGTCTGGGCAGCACATGAGCCACTGCCTCCCGCACAGAGGGCGACCGTGCGGCCACTCCTCCGCCTCCTCTAAGTCACGGCGAAAGGAGAAGGACCACGCCGGACACGGCGGTGTCGTCTCCACCATCCTCCTCCGCCTGTGGCTTTCCATGGCGTCATTCTCATACACGATCGACTCTCGTCCATTTCACAGCTTAAGAGTTTCCTCTCCAGGCTTTTACGAGTCTTCATCATTCATGTTTTCAATGGGCAAGTGTATTATTACCAGAAAACAAATCTGTTGAATTTTATTGTAAAGGCAATTTAGATACATCTGGAAAGAAATTAACACATGCAGAAAAATAGAAAGAAAAAAAAAAGAGAAAAAAAAAGCACAATAAAAGCAAAGAAGTGGATCATTTCACAGGTGATGTGCTTCCTCCTATTGGTTTCCCACATCTTTTCTGGGCCAGTTCATCATATTTATATGTTTTTGAGTCTCATCTTTTCATTTAACAGTTAAATCTTCGAGTTGAAATAAGTGAATATCCTACCATTTACCTTGGACCTAGACACCTAACTCATTTGTATTCTGAATAATTAGGTTATGTCAAAGGTCACTAAGTGCTGCTGAGTGTAGGGTCAGGGAGCCTGAGCCTGGGGAGGAGACCTGGGTAGCCCCCTCAGACTTGTAGGTTGTGATAGGACATGCCCTATGACCATCAATTCTCAGAAATTCTTCCAGGCTGTATCTCCCCCTCTGGGGATTGGCTGCCCATTCCTGGTGGCCAGCAAGCTCCCTGCGGATCTGGAGTCTGTGGGCACTGGTGAGGGGGGATGTGACTGGGGCCTGGGCAGTGGAGGGTGGGTGCGGGGCTGTGATGGTGGCTGCAGGTAAGGTCCCTGGGGATGGATTCCATCAGAACTGGGAGTATCTCAGCGGTAGTCGTGGCCAAGTGCCACGAGTTGTGGTGAAGGATCGCTGTCTGGAGATGTGTCCTTGTCTTAGAGGCAGCCCTCGGGTGGTCCCCACAGATATGTGGGCAATCAGGGTCACCTGGAGGCAGCTGTCTGGGCATCACCATGGGAGCATGTGTGTACATGTATGTATGTGTGCACGTGTGCCAGTACAAGTGTGTGAGCACACATATGCCTGTGTGTACATACATGTGTGCCTGTGTGTGTACGGGGGAGAGTAAACCCCTGTCAGCAAAGTAGCTTTGTCACAGAGTGGCACTGGTGCCCACCACTCTGGGGCTTCACCAGGGGGTCTGTAGACAGTGGGAGACAAAATATTAAAGGCATCAGATGAGGGAAAAACCCCTAAATAAAATGTTTTTTTCTATCACCATTTATTCTCCCTTTACCTTTTCTACCTCCCCCTTTAAATAAAATATTAAAGTAACAAATTCAGCAATGTATTAAAAACCTCACTATCTTGTCCGAGTTTTATCCCAGGAAAGCAAGGGATTTTTCCTGTTGGAAAAAGCCATGAGGTGACTGAGGGGAATCGGGAATTCGGGAGTGATTTGGGAGACACAGAGCGTAGGGTGTGGTCTGATGAGGGGCGGGGAGGCACAGGGCTGGGGGCTGGGGCCTGGGGTTTCCAGCTCCAGGGCTGGGTGGCTCAGATGGGAGCGCCGTGGATGGGAGCGCTGTGGATGGGAGCGCTGTGGATGGGAGCGCTGTCAATGGGAGCGCTGTGGATGGGAGCGCTGTGGATGGGAGAATTGATGAGTTCCATGGTGGCAGGAGTTGGAGGAGCTGGAGGGATGGCTATGTGACTGCTCTGGGCATTAGTAGCCCAGAGACCTTGGTCGTGGACCAAGCACAGTGTGAACAGAGCACAGGTGGCTGAGAGCAGGTTCTGGGGCACAGCACCCCGTCCTGTCGTAGGAATATGCAGGGACATGTAGGGCAGCCAGAACTGTGTCTCCTTTGACTCCTAGGAGCTCACCTTGACTTTAGTTTACTTTGTGAATAAGGACAGGTGTCCATAAAAAACTGACCTCCCTTCCATTTATGGGAATCTTTTAATCATTTGTATCTTTGACTTGGGAGCAACACCCTTGAACCAGCCTCCATTCCGAGAAGGAGCCACAGATCCACCTTTTCCACCAATCCCAGCACAGCCTGAGGCTGGCTCATTCCACCCCCTGGAGGCTGCCTTTGCACCAGAGCTGTTGTGGTGACCTGACAATGGTTCAGGGTGGATCCTGTGCAGCTGTGGGTGGGGCTTGTCAGCAGTCAGGTCTGAAGAAGTCTCATCATCGAAGGCCCTAGGGCACATGTGTCAAACACAAGGCCCGCGGGCCAAATCCGTCCCGCCAGGCCTTGCAATGTGGCCCGCACCGCGCTGTCATCACTGCACTCCGCTGCGTTTCCATCACAATGACAGTTTATGACTGTTCAGTAAACCATTCTGCCCACGATTTAGGCTGGATTTTAGATTTTGGCCCCTTCTCTGATTGAGTTCGACACCCCTACCCTAGGGTATCACTTCTCCATCTTCCTCTTATGGGTACCAGGTGAACTGGACAAGACACCCATTGAGAGCGCCAGGTTGGAGCTTACCCAACATCACTTCAGGAGTACAGAAACCACAGAAGGAGCTCCAGGAGTACTGCCTCGCACCAAAGGCTCCATGTCCTCCTCGGCAAACAGGCTTAAATTTGATCCCAGGTTTAAACCAACCAGGGAACCTACAAAGCCACAGCCAGGCTTGCGATGGGCGATATGGTCAGTTTCTGTGCCCGAAGGCAGCTCTGGAGGCTCACAGTGGGCTCCTCTTACAACTGAACGAGTCACACAGACGCCCAGAAGTAGCCCTGAGTCCTAGCCTGTCTGAGATGGTGGACTTAGGGCTTACCTATGGAACTTGTGGCAAGTGGCCTGCGGGCACCACTCATGGGTCCTGGCCCTCTGAGCCCCAGGCTGCTGCCTCGTGTACATTTCCATCACTGCCTCTCCCCACAGGTCCTGTAGGTCTGTGTCTGGGCACTGATCATATGCCACTTCTACCATGTGTATGCTCTGCCCTTGACTGGAGGGCAATGTCTCCCAGTCTCTGACCCATAGATGAACTTACAGAATAGGTATATATTGGGGGGGGGGGGAGGGCAGTCAGGGGCTCTATTCCTCTCTCATTATTCAGCTGATCATGAGTTCAGTTCCTTCCTTGTATTGATGCCCAATTTCCTTCTCCAATTACACCCACACTCTGATGCACACTGTTATTCCTTTCTGCTCCTTTCATGAAACCAACGTGAGAAAGGCAGTAGTGAACAGGGTGAAAGTTCATGGCAAATAGGTTTTCTGTGTGTCTTTCAAAAAAATTTAAACAACATTGTCCCTAAGGGAAGATGGAGCTTAGAAGTCTCTCACGGATCGGAGCAGGCTGGCCAGGTGGCCTGGGAAGTTGTCAGTGAATGGGGGTGAGCAGCTGCAGGTCTGAGGACCGTAATTCATTTCACAGGTGCGGTTCCATCACGGACGGTGTTTCTTCCTGTTTCTCCTCTGGATGGTGTGGGATGGAGAGTGCGGGGCAGATGGGGGGACATGGTGGCTGTGAGGGAGGGAAAGCAAGGCTGGCTGCTCTGTTGCTCTGTTCTGTTCCCAAGAACCTCTCCCCCTTAGGGCTGGTGGGTCATTACAGGTTTCTGCAATGCACAAACACACATGCACAATAAGCATGCACAGACGGGTATGCACACAGGTGCACAGTAAACATGCAGAGATGGGTATGCACACAGATGCACACACATGCACATATAAGATTTTTCTTTAAGTCTTTTGCCAAGTTTACATGTTACTTTACCCCAATTTTCTTCTCTCTGAGGACTTAATACCAACAAATAACCTGACAGGCCACAGAATTTTGGAGACACCTCAGAGAGCCGGATGAATCCTTACCGAAAAGCTGTGGTGGGCAGTGCCCCTCCTGCTGTTGGGGTTTCTTTGTGTCAGGGACCCGCGGTACACAGATTTCCGGACAAAGGACTCCTCATCTTTGCCTTTGGAGAAAACACAGGGGCGTGCTTATTAATCACACACTCACCCAAACAAGTGTCTTTGCCTCCCAGGAAATGAACCAAGTAGCAAAAAAATGGACCCCCCCCCTCCACCCCTGAGAAGTTCTCTCAGCACTCAATAGTTTCAGCAAAGCACCCACAGTGTAGCAGCTGTGCCAAGGAACACTCTTTGGAGCAGGCACGAAAACCCTACCTCCCTGGAGCCCAGAAATGCTCACTGGGGGCAAAGCAACAGAAAGGTCCCTGGGCTGGTGTGGGGTCCGCCACTCCTTTCCTTTCCTTTTGTGATGTGACAGCCGGCCTGAGGGGCTGGGGCCTCCTCCTCAGGAAAGCTCTCTCCTCAGGGCTCTGGCTGTGACACCCATCACACCAGAGCGTCCTGCAGGTGCAGGGGCATTGGCTGCGGCGTCCCACAGGTGATGTGGACATTCAGAGCCCTGCCTCCCTCCATGCCCCAGAGCCCCTCCCCAGCCTGCGGGGAGGAGGGACGCAGGTGACTCTCACCTTGACTTTCAGGGGTATTGCTGAACTTCGTCCTCAGAAGGTGGGGCCCCGCCATCACCTGGAAGGAAGGAGACACCTCTGGGCTTCACTTGATTGTAAATTAGAAACAAGGGGAGCTAACTTGGGACCCATTATTCTTCCAGACTCTAAGTACTAACCCGGTGGACTGCTTCTGCTCTTTGACAATAACTGAACAGTTAACAATATTAAAATGCATGGTGGCAATCAGTTAAGCACCCAGTGCCAGAACATAAAAGGTGCTTTGCTCTGGGGAGCTGCCCATGTTGGGAGGCGTGGGCTGTGAGGGTTCCTCCAGCTCCCACCCTCGACTCAGTGTATCTGAGGCCACCAGCCTGTGAGGCTTGCACAATTCTCCACCGCCCCCAGGCCTGCCATGCTCTGAGAAGGGGTGTCCACCTTTCCCTCTTTGTCCATCCTTTGGGGGGAAGGAGAGAAGCACGCACCTCAACCCCATCTGAAGGGCCTGCAGGTAGATCCTTGGGACTCTGGCTCAATTTCCCAGCAAGTCGGGGCATAAATATCTGGGGGACAAGGAAGAAGCCTGTACGTTATCTTCCCTGTGTCACTTCCAGCCCCGGGGCCGGCTGGACACGGGGTGGCGTTCCTTCGCACTTGCTCAGGAATGCGGGGCAGGCACGCTGGCCCTGCCAGATAGGCCACTCAGTGAGCTGGGACGGGGGCACGACCAGGGTTAGCAAACTAAAACACAGAACGGCCAATTTGCTCTGAATTCCAGAGAAACAACAAGCCGTTCCTTAGCGTATGCCCCAGTATGCACTGGCTATTCTCACACGGGAAGATGAGTCATCATTTATGTGAAATGGCGCCCTGCATTTTACCTGGCAGGCTCGTCCTGGCCTCTCCCAGGACCGTCTTTCATTCTCGGCAGGTGTCCTCACCAGAGTGATTTTGCCTGAACATCCCCAAGGTGACCCAGGAGAGATGTTGGGGGACGTGGGGGCCTGCTGCCCTCCCACCCCGCTCTAGGCACACTTTGTTGGGGGCAGTTTGTTAAGCTGCCAACATGGGTGTCGTCATTCAGGTGCTTCCTCTGCGCTCTGAACTGTGCACTGGTGTCTTTGAAACCCTCCTGGGCGCCGAGGATCCCTCTTAAAGCACTTTCTCCAGTTAGAAAAGCAATGAATGAAAAAGAGCTCCCCAGGGCACAGCCCATGGATGGCTGTTAGGGCACTGAGGCAGCAGTTCAAGGAGGGGGAGATGGCTGCCCAGGGCTCTCACCCTGTGGGCCTGGCCAGGAGTCGGGGCACCCTGGCCTCGGGCACTGCAGTGTCCACTCACCGGGAGCTTAGACCTCCTCCGGGGCTTCCCCGAGGGCCTCACCGTGAGCCCTGCAGCCCGCAAGGCTGCGATCCTGGCCTCGATTTCCGACACCTGGGGGGTCAGTGAAAACAGACAGACGTCCCTCAGAAGTCCCACCTCCCGTCACAGTCCTGGGAGAGCAGCTGCCCTCATCCACCAGTTTTACTGTGTTTCCCACCCAGATGTACTTTCTGGGGTCCCATTTCAGGCAGGTGCCATGATTGTTGGGGAGGGGCTGGGTCACCCCCAGCTGGGGCCAGAGTCTGAAGGATAGGCCATCTCTTCTCTGTGGGTCCCTGGGGGGAGGGCTGAGCAGAGCCCAGTTCTCCATCAACCCCTGGTGACTGTCCCTGGGCGGCCTGCTCTGTCCTCGGACCTTTGTCACCACCGACACCTCCACCCTTACACGGAAGCTCTGGGCCCATGCTCCTCGGGCCAGAATGTGGTCCTGAGCTCTGGGCTGCCCTAAACTCTTAACTGCTTCTAGAGAAGCCCCTCCATGGGGTGGGGCATCGTGAGTGCCTGCGTTTTCCTCCAGTGGCTACAAACCCCGTCTGCCCCTCTCTACAGCAAAGGGGAAGGGGCAGGGGTGAGGCAGGCGGATGGTGGTGGGGGTGTGATTCCCACAGGGACCCCCAAACTCCTGTTCTGAAGCCGAAGGGGCTCCCCTGCGTGAGCCGTTGGGGAGCTCCTCTCCTGCTGTCACATCATCAGGGCCCCATCGCTGTCAGTCTTGGGGAGCCATCTGCTCCCGAGGCTGTGGGCTACCTCGCTCTCCGCCTGCTGAACCTCGGAGGCCGTCACGGCCACCCTGTCCTCCAGCTGCGACAGCGCCTCGTCCGGGGTCCTGGCGGTCTGCAGGGGGTCCTGGGAGTGCGGGGGGCTCTTTTCCCATCTGTGTGTTTGGCCCGCAGACGTGCACACCTAGGACAAGAGTGACTGCAGCTTCACCAAGGACCTCATCCTACCCTCCTCTTTCCTCTTCACTCCTGGAGCTGGGCGGTCAGCCAGGGGCTGGGCCCCCTGTGGCCCTTGTCACGACCCCTCACTGACCTCCAGGGATCAGCTGCCTGCCCTGGGCTGGGCTGCTGTGTTAGCTACGGACTGTTGACCCCTGGCCCTACCTCCGCCCATGTCCTGTGGAGACCGTGGGGGATGGCCTTACCTCTGGGGTCATCCTGGGGAGGTCCTCCAAGGAAGTGCTCCTGTCCAGCTCCGCCCCTTTGTCCTTGCCCTCCTCCTCAGAAGAGGCTCCCTGGTCACTGACATTGCTGGTCAGCTCCTCCAGCTTTCTCTTCAGGGTCTCCTCCTCCACGTCTGCCTCTGTGGGCTCGCTGGCACCAGGACCCTGAAATAAGCAAGCGAGCGGGTCCGGTTCAGTGGCATCTGTGCGCACCGTACTCAGAGGCAGGGCTCTGAGAGGGTGGCATCCTGGAGCACCCCTGAGGCTCCCGCTGAGCAGTGTCTCCATCCATTCTCCACGTGTGCTTGCCCAAGGCCCCATATTGGGCCCAGACCCGGCCTCCAACCTGGCTCTGTAGGGTGGCCAGCTCCTGGTGATCCTGATGCCAGCAGGCCATCTAAGATCCCCCATTTATCTATTTACACATTTATTTGACTTATAATTTGCATGCCATATTATATTAGTCTCCTGTGTACAGCAGAGTGATTTTACATGAATATACCTGACAAAGCCATCCCCACAGTACGGCCAGCACCATCTGTCTCCCTGTGTGGTCCAGAGGCTGTTCCTGGCTCTGCTCCCTATCCCCAGGACTTATTTTATAGGTGGGACTTGTACCTCTTACTCTCCCCCCTTTCTGCCCAGCCCCTCCCTCTCCTTCCCTTTGGCAAGCATCTCTGTTCTCTGTATGAGTTTGTTTCTGTTTTGTTTTGTTCATTGTTTTCTTTTTTTAGATTCCACATATAAGTGAAATCATGTGGTATTCCTCTTTCTCTGTATGACTTACAATTATTGTTTTGTTAATCCTCACCCAAGGCTATTTTTTTCATTGCTTTTTAGAGAGAGTGGAAAGATGGGAGAGATGGGGGGGGGGGAGAGAAAGAGACAGAGACAGAGAAATATCTACATGAGAGAGAGACACACATATGGACTGGTTGGCCCCTTCACATGCCCCAAGCAGGGCCAGGGATCAAACCTGTAGGCCTTGACTGGGAATTGAACCTGAGACTCCTTGATGTGTGGGCTGCCACTCTAAACATTGAACACACAGACCAGGTGTCAGTATTACTTATTTTTAAGGAAACGTTTTTATTGATTTAGAGAGAGAGGAAGGGAGAGGAAGAGAGAGAAACATTGATGTGAGAAATAACATGATATCAGCTGTCTTCCACACACTCCCTATTGGGGATCAAGCCTGAAACCCAGGTATGTGCCCTGACTGGGAATTGAACCAGTGACCTTTCTGTGCATAGGATGGTGCCTAACCAACTGAACCACCCTGGCCAACACCTCCTGTACAACTTATTCCACTCAGCATAATACCCTCTACATCTGTCCATGTTGTCATAAATAGCAAGATTTCATCTTTTTTTTTTTCAGCTGAGTCATTTCTCATTGTATATATGTATCACTTGTTCTTTATCCACTTGTCCTTTGCTGGGCACCTGGGTTGCTTCCATATCTTGCCTATTCTAAATAACGTGCAGTGAACGAGGGGTGCATAGATCTTCACTAACTATTTCCTTAGTTTGTGCTTTGTTAGTACCTCAACCTCCTTTAACAAAGGGGCTCCGGGACCCTGTCTCCAGGTGGGTCATCAGACATTCCACCACTGATGTGCGTTTGCTCACTCCAAAACCCTGCAGCCGAGGATACAGTGGCTGGGACACAGCCCACTCCCACCAGCAAGACCCAGCACCCACCCCCTGGGAAGCACCAAATTCCCAAGCCGTGGATGGAAAGCTGGGGCCGTCCCTGAGGCCATGACCCGGGGAGGGTGACCAAGACACCTGTCTTCCCACACCAAGGGCTCTGGGACAGCAAAAGCAGGAGGGGTGACAGATTCACCAAGACCAGGGAGCTGGACATGAAAGGCCAATGGGGATCGTTACCAGGGCAGCTGCTGTCCCTCGCAGCACAGGAAGGCGTGAGTTAACGAGGCCAGGCCGATCAAACCAAAACTCATTATCTGCAGGAGCTGCAGGTCACTGGTGGGCCAGGGGACAGCTTGAAGTGACTAAACACACAACTTCCTCATCCTTGAGTCACCAGGCTCTTGAGTCACCAGAAGCTATTAGCTCCCAGACGGGGACAGGAGAAAATCAATTCTTGTTCAGTTTTCTGCAGGCCCAGCGGACGCAGCCTTCCTGCCATTATCTCTCTCGAGGCTCACCTGGGTTTAGCAGAGGGCAAGGGCCCTTCCGGGGAAAGGTGCCTCTGCATTGTTTGCGAGGTAATTAGTTTGGTCTTCACAGCACCGAGAGCCCTGAGCGGGCGGAGGGCCCCCCCCCCCCCCCCCCCCCAAGGAAGAGCGAAGCTGAGGGCGGTCACCTCGAGGGTTTCGTTCTGGAGCGGCCCTGGTGACTGAGACCACCTCTGGTTGCACTCAGTTTAAAGTGACGGAGGTCAATACCTCGGAACAGGGAGCCCAGCAGACAGCCTCGTGCCCTGGAGCAGTCAGGACGCTAGGCTGCCACTTCAGGCCTGGAGAGGAGGGCCCAGCCCACCAGTGCCAAGAGTGTCATTGTGAGGTGTCACTGAAGAAAGATAAACTCCCCATGATGACACTGGGGCCCTTCTCACCTGGGGCTGGGGGAGGTGAGCAGGAACTGGGGGAGCATAGAGCCATGGAAAGGCAGCAGCCGGCAGAGGAGCCGGGGGGTTGGCGTGGTGCTCTCACAAGGCCAGGCTGGCACCCAGGCCTCTCAGGGGGAGGGAGGCCTCCAGGACCGCATGCAAGCGCAGATATAACAGCTCCGGGTTTCTATCTGGCATTGAGAGCCACTGGGGCCATCAGACATGCCCACGGAACACCTGCTCCTCGGGGACTCAGGGGCCACCTCCATGCAGCTGCTGAGCCTTCCCCCTCGGCCCCAAATGGCCACTGCGTTGGCGGTGGCATCTTCCCCTGTGTGAGCCCCAACTGTCAGGGTCATCATGTTACTAGACTCGTACGAACGGACATCAAGTGTGAACGGTTTTGCCTTCAACTTCTGGGCGACAAAACCAAAATGTATAACTTGCAAGCACAACACAGACATAGGCCATGCATTACACAGAACAGCCATAATCTGGGACTGATGAGGCTCCTGTGGGGAAACCGAGTCAGTGTGTGCAGCCTGAGCATGGCTTCGATGACCCGGGACCGGCTCTCGGGAGTGGGGGCTCACCCCCCATGGTGGTGTGGGTTAAGTGCCGGGGCTCCGTTTCCTGCCCCCGCCACCTCAGCCCCGTGGAAGTGTCCTTCGTGCTGCATGCTGTGTCCTCGTTGGCCTCCTCGTGGCAGGAGGAGTTATTTATAGAAAGTCCTTCCTGAATATTCCTCACCCAGAAAGTCCTAACTATGGGTACAAAGCAGAGACAGGTGACGGATCCCAGGAGCACCATGCAGATGCGCCCCAATAAGACATTGCTCTGGAGAACTCAGCGCATGTCTGTGAGTCTTGGGGTCGGAAGGGCTGCTCTGGGGGCAGAGGTGGAGGGCCCCCCATTCCGGCCCCAGAGCAGCTCTGGTGTGGCTGCATTTGGGAGCATGGCCTCCTGCTGCCCGGTTTCCCTGATATAAAGACGCATTCTATTGTAGGTGAGATGTTAGTCGAAGTACATAGAGTTGATAGAGGTAAATGAAGAAAAATTTCCAGAGATAAGATACAAGCATGAGCCAGAATAATTCAAGGTGGCTTACAGAACAGTTAGTACCAGCTGGGCTATGTATTTTACTGAAAGTTACTAAGGTTGCTAAATCAAAAACCTACTGAAAACTGACAATTTAATTCTAGTCTTCATCCCATTGTCTTCTCTCTAGGAGACGGGGAGATCCTCTGCCACTGTGGTCCTGCCACATGGGAAGTCTCTATCCCAGGAGGTTTCTGTCACAGGGAGGGCTTTATCTCAGGGAGGGCTGCATCCCGGGGGGCCTCTGTTCCCAGGGGAGGGCTCTACCCGGGAGGTCTCTATTCCAGGGGGACCTCGCCATTCTGGGGAAGATGTCTCTTCCAGGAGGGAGGTCTCTATCCTGGGGGGAGGCCTCTTTCCTCTGGGGGACGTCTCTATCCCAAGGAGGTCTCTGTCCCAAGGGAGGACTCTATCCTGCTAACCATTTGGCCATCCTCTCCGCCTGCCAGCCCAGAGCTCGGCCTATGGGTCTCCAGGAGGGGAACTCCACGAAGGCACCCTCCAGAGCTCCCGGGGGGGCTCTGTGCCAGGCACCAGCATGTGGAGGAAGCCGGACCTGCAGTAACCCAGGCTCTGTAGATGTGCGTGAGACCAGCCTCGGGGCAGCTGTGGCTCAGGATTCTCCATCCAGAGCAGGGCCCATTCACCCCATCTGGTTTCCATGCTTTGAGAGTTATCAGTTACAAAATGGCCCCAAATCCCACAATTTCTTCCATAGAAGTTAGGGCCCCATCCAAGACTGGTGAGTCAGGATCAGCCTAGCAGGTCACGATGTTCTCCTCTGAAACAGCATTGCCTTTTCCCCAATGAAATGTACTTTCTTGTTCTCATCAGTTGTCTGTAAACGGGCTTGTGATTTAATTTCAGTGAAAGGAGCCTGTGGTTCCAAAGGAACCTTGTGATGGATGGACTACGTCATAAATCGGTGTTTTTATGTGAGCAGTTCTCACTAATTTAGGGCTTACATACTTTAAATTGAATTTTCTTTTCTTTTGGTTAATCCTCACCTGAGGATATTTTTCCATTGATCTTTTAGAGCGAGTGGAAGACAGGGGGAAAGAAGAGAGAAACATTGATGTGAGAGAAACACATCGATTGGTTGCCTCCTGCACGCGCTCCGGGAGGAGCCTGCGAACAAGGTACATGCCCTTGACTGGAACCGAACCCAGGACCTTTTGGTCCGCAGGTGATGCTCTTCAAACTATGGCCCACGGGCCACATGCGGCCCGCAGAGGAGTCTGATTCGGCCCGCCAGGTTTTTTGGGCAGTGAGCGCAGCCGAGGTGTTACAGTAGGAATTAGTAGTTCATATAGTCCGGCCCTCCAGCTCTCTGAGGGACCGTGATCTGACCCCCACTTTAAAAAGTTTGAAGACGCCTGCTAGACACTGAGCCAAACCAGCTAGGGCCAAGCTGAATTTTCTTAAAGGAATGAAGTTCTGACCCTTGCTACAATGAGGATGAACTCAAAAGCAGAAAGCAGCCGGTCACAAAGGGTCCTGCATTGTATGATTCCATAGACAGGAAGGCAGATGGGTGGTGGCTGGGGCTGGGGAGGGGACTGGGAGTGTCTGCTCAAATTGGGGTGGTGGGCAGGGTTTCCAGAAACCCCTCCACCATGGGAACACACACATGTATTTTGATGACATCACCCATCTCTGTTAAGTAGGCTTGTGCAATCTTACAGCTTTTAAAGTATGGAACGCTGTAATTTCTGTTATGACTTGGTATAAGATGAAAAAGCTCCACTCAAAGAAGCTACCAGGAGTCTTCCCACGCCCCATACCTGGCTGGCAGGTGAGGTCCGGCCGCTCTGAGTGGAGAGGTGGGAGGCTGCCTCTCGGGCCTGTATGCTGTCTTCATCAGAGGTGTCCACATCGGCCAGGCACTGCGAGGGGAGCTGCTCGTTCCTGACGATGCTCACCCCTGGGGAGGGACAGTGGGTTTGGATTATTGGGGGTGAGAGACTGAAAGTCAATGGACATTTTTTCCAACGGAAAAATGAGAGATCGGAGCAACCATGGACGTGATTATATTTTTGATGTTATGGGGCTGAGACCCTTCAACCAGACTAAGTTCCAACAAGAAACTTCAGGACACAGAGGCAGCCCAGCGCTCACCACTGCCCACCTGGTTGACCCTCATGTGGACAGCATCTTGCATACAACACCGCGTGGGAGAGTCACGTGTGCAGGAGCTACTTCTGTATCTGCTGGGGGCGGCCGTGTGAGTTCTGCCCACAATCTGAATGAGATTGGGGCCCGGACGCAGGGGCCGCTCCAGCCCTGCTGACACTGGTTCCAGCCTCGAGACCCTGTACTGAGGACATAATGGAGCCTGGACTGCTGGCCACAGTGAGATACCCAATGTGTGCTGTTTTAAGCTGGTACGTCTGTGTAATCTGTTACCAGCAATAGTGAACAGGCACGGCCTTCTCAATACCTACTTAGGCACTGTAACCGTTTTCACAGTGAGGGCACTGAGGCCCGGGGGCTGAGCGGCTTGGTCGAGTTGCACGCCATTTTCCATCGAATCCCAGACCGTGCAATGGTTTGATGCTCTATTAGGAAAGTGATAATATTGCCCGTCACACTCCCACACACACCTTTTCTACCACGCGCCCTGTGACCTGCTCCCAGTGTGAAGATGGGGAATGTGTCTTCGTGTCACTGAGGTAGGGTAGTGGGCTGCAGCGCTGGGCTTGACCCAGAATGGCAGGCCTCCCAAGAGCCTTTTCTCAGCCTGATACAGTCCCCCTATCTCCCCCGCTTGTCCCTCAGCCCCACCCAGCCACTGAGCACACACCTGGGTGATTAGGGACCACGGGAGGGGATGAGTGTGTCCCAGTTTGCATGCTCAGTCAATGTAGATTCACTTACTCCTTGTTTAGCTCACCTTCCCCGCCCAATGCCTCCAGGGTCCTAGAGGGTGTGTGGCTCATGAGATTATGGTCTCTTTAATATAATGAAAAGGGGAGAACGGAAAGAGGATGGTGTCCTAACCACATTGCGCAGCCGCGTTAGTGGAAGGCTGTGCTGCTGTGTGATCTTATTTGCCCGACGTCAGCAGGGAGTCTGACTCTGACCGCACTCGCACCCCCACAGGCACAGACAATGCTTCAGGATTTCATTAGGAAGCAAACTGTCTGGCAACAAATTCAATCGAACGAATCTGTGTTCTCAGCACTTACAGACCTCCCCATTCATGAGGGACAGGTAGGTGTCACCCCCATGGAACTGCCCCATGGGTCCCCAGCGGCACCCTGAGTCCTCAGCTGTGAGATGCCCGGTCCCGGTCAGGACGGTTGGTCCAGTGACCATCGGTCTGTTGTTTCAGGAAGACCTGCATGTCCCTGCCCTGCCACAATGTCCTCTGTAAAGGGGGCAGTGAGCCCTAGGGGGCTTGGCTAAGTGGATAGAGCATTAGCCCAAAGCCCAAAGGGTCCCATGTTTGATTCCGGGCAAGGGCACATACCTCAGTTGCAAGCTTGATCCCTAGCCCTGGTCAGGGCACATGCAGGAGGCAATCAATTGATATTTCTCTCTCCCCATTTCTCCCCCTCCCTCTCTTCTAAAAACCAATTAAGTAATATCCTTGGATGAGGATTTAAAAATAACAAACAAACAAAAAATAATTAAAGATGGCAGCAGCTGTGTGGTCAGGTCGGGGGTCAATGCTGGTTACCTGAATGTTGCGAGGGCACACGCAGCTGGGGGAGGGGTGTGTGTGGGGGAAGCAGGAATCCATGAGGTTTGCCAGGACTGCACATGCCCGCCAATCACAGGGAAGGAAAGGCCTGCTTTAAACCAGCCAGTGTGTCTGCCCAACTTGGGGTGGTGGGCAGGGTTTCCAGAAATCCCTCTACCATGCAGAGCCCAGACAGAAGACAGCGGCCAAGGCCACCTACCAGGAGTGGAAGTGATTCTCAGGGCTCCTGGGCAGGACTCTCCTGGAAGGCAGAGCTCAGTGCGGGCATCCCATCCGGCAGGGGAGAGGATGTCTGTCTGCTCTTCTGGGTGGGGGTGGCCCCCAGAGGCCCTGGCATCAGCCTCCTGCAGGACCACGGCCTCCTGGGAGGCGGCCTCCTCCGCGCAGGGCTCACCTGTGAGGGCCTGAGCACATGGGGCCTGTCAACCGCTGGGGGGATTGGACTTGGGGCAGCTCCTTGGTGTGTGGGTCTGTGCAGTGCACATTCGGAGGGCTTCCAGGTGCCGTCTGCTGACCGAGCACCACACACCTCCCCTCTCGCCCTGACATCCCAGGTCCCTTCAGTTTCACGGCCTATTCTGTATCCTGTCTCCAGGGAAGGAGGTGGGGGCCTGAATGCTGGGCCAGGTAGCACACAAGGAGACAGAAACTCTTCCAACAGCCTCGGGGCCTAGACCCACCCAGACCAAAGCCCTGAGGAAGTGGGTGGGAAGTTTCGTGTGTGTGTGTGTGTGTGTGTGTGTGTGTGTGTGTGTGGTTCTGTGTCCATCTTAATAATTCCTGAAGGTCAGAGAAGCAAGAGTGGGTGGGGGTGGGGCGGCCCCTTGGCTGTGAGCCTTACACCCCTCCCCCACCCTTCTTGAGGCCTGCAGAAGTCTCCCTCAATTGTGCCATAGGTCCCCAAGGAAAGGGGACATTGAAGGTGTCAGGGAGCCACATGCCCCCACTCCTTTCCAGCTTGGCTGTGCTGGGGCTGGGGCTGGGGCTGGGGGCAGGAAGGAAGTCCTCCCAGGCCCTGGAGGCCATAGGAAAGGGAAACTGCACCCCTAGAATTGCAGCTGGAGCAGGACCCGTGGCCCAAGGCCTCTTGGGTGCTGGCTCTCCATCCTGCTAGCCTGTCCCCAACAGAGGTGTGCCAGTCAGCCTGGGCAGGCCCAGCCCTGTCCCAGCTGTGGCCCGGCACTGCCTGAGCCCAGGGGTCCCCGAGTTCAGGGGTCCTGCTGAAGCTGGGCGTTGCTCTGGGTCTTGTGCCCAAGCTGCATGTGCCCTATGGGTGATTGGCACAGCCTCTGGTCCTGAGAGTGACCCTGTGAAGGGAGATGGTCATCCCTCTCAGGTGGTGGGGTATGGAGCCTCACGGAGGGTTCCCAGACCAAGGTCACAAACCTGAAGAGCAGAGTGACCACCTGTCCTGGCTGCTGGGTGGGCCCTGTGGGGCCACAGTGCTGCTGTGATTATTAACGGCAGCTCCTCCACGTAGGACCAGCCTCCTCTGGGCAATAAGCTTATGACCCCACCAATAACACGGAGGTCCAGGCACGTCCAACTCCTGGGCAGATGCCAGTCCTCTGTCTGCCCTCCCGAGTGAGTGGGCTGGGCCTTACTTCCGGGACAAGCACCCAGCCTGAACGCCACATGCCCCTCACTCAACTGCCCTCCCCCACACACAGCCATGCTGCCAGCTCAGCCTCTTCGGAGAGCCTGCTGGATCCCGTCCCTGACCTGCGGCTCCCAGGAGGGGTGGGCAGGAAGGAGAGCCCACTCACCTGCAGGCTGTCCGGGGCCGCTGGGACTGAGAACAGGCTCAGGGGGTGACTGTAACACCCCTCGGAGTCGTCAGAGTCCTCCTCGAAGTCGAGGCTGTGAATGGGGAGGAGGCGCTTTTTCTTGGCGGGCACAGGCTGGGCAAGAGGAGAGTGCGGTCAGTGGACAAGGAGGACTGGACGCCCCTCACCCCAGGGCCCTAAAACAAACCTGATGAGCCCCAGCTCTGAAGCCACATCAAAAGTCTGCCCAGAGCCCCCCCACCCCTCACAGGGTCTGCATGCCCAGGACCCCTCACAGAGATGAGAGGAAGCTGCTGATGGACTCGCGGTTGCCCAGGACACAGGCCCCGGAAGGCTGCAGCCTTGGGGGCAGTTAGGCTTCGGGTTTCCCACCCTTGGGGTTTTAGGCAAAAGGGGGAGGCAGAGGGGAGAGGGAGAACTTGTGCACCTTAGATGCAAAGTCAGAGGTTAGCTCTGACCCCCCTGATGGTTTCCATCCTTCAGACGGATGTGTAGGGAAGAGTGTAGACACTGGGGAGTGTTCTGAAAGGTTAGTAAGTGGCGCAAACATGCTTTGGTCATAAACAGATGCATATATTCCCCCAGAGCAGCTGGGTCGACCTGGCATTGCGGGTCTCTCCTAGTGGCTCCGCCCATACTATCATCGCCTGCTGTACCCCTTCCTCCAACCTGCTCCTCCCACCTGCTCCCCTTCAACGGCTCCTCTTCCATCATCCTACCCAGAAACCCTGGGGGTTACTTTGCGTGTCTTTATCTCCATAAATAAAGTTAAAAATAAGTGAAAACAGAAACAAACACCAATAAAAAATAAGGCTCATGTTTTGTCCTAGAAAAAAGCAAAAAAGTTTGCAATTTGAGGGATTTACATCCCTGAAAGGTGCAAAGGCCATCTTAGGATGACCCCAGTATGCCTTCTGCCCCTGCCCTTCCAACCATTGCTCCAGGGGCCGAGGCCAAGGGCCAGGCAGGTCTGGGGGTCTAGGCAGCCTTCTCTGCAGCCTCTGCCCACCCATGGCTTGCTAGGGGTTTCTTATGGTGACAGTGACCTTCTGCTGAAAGTATTCTTCTATCTAGTGCTTATGGCCCTCAGAGATGGTCCGGGCGTGGCAAAAGGAGGTGGAGCCATAGCGCTCAGCTATAGTGGAGTCATGGGAGCACTGGGGTTTTTAGGAAGTCAGAGCCCAAGGCTGCAGCCCCGGCAACGGTGGGGGAGACTTACTTTGCTGCCAAGGGGATGGGCCTGAGCCCCTGTGTCCAGCTCTCCATCCGTATTGGAACTCTCACTGTCTCTACTTCCCTCTCCAGGGCTTGGCTCAGGCTCACCTGCAACAGACACCTTCATGACTCTGTTTAGGGAGAGATAGAAGGCAAACCCTCTGTCTACCCCCCTCCTCACATCCATCCTCCCACCCATTCATTCATCCATTCATCATCCACCCATCCATCCACCATCCATCCACCATCCATCCACCCATCCACCATCCATCCATCCACCCATCCACCATCCATCCATTTTCCATCCACTATCCACCATCCATCCACCCATCCACCCATCCACCACCCATCCATTTTCCATCCACTATCCACCATCCATCCATCCATCCATCCATCCATCCATCCACCATCCATCTACCCATTTTTCCATCCACCATCCACCATCCATCCATCCGTCCATCCACCCATTCACCATCCATCCATCACAAACATCCAGGCAAGGCCCTCTGTTGACCTTACAATGACCTATCCAAGCATCAGTTAAAGCTGGTGTCCTCATCATAGCAGAAAACCAGTGCTCTGAATTAATGTTATAGGATCACACCTGTAGGTATTCACCCCACAGTCACCCACCCCTTGAGGGAGGCTTAGAGCTAATTTTTGTTTCCCCAAACAAACCACTTCCACAGTCTCATTCCCCCTGCTTATCTGCAGGCCCGGCCTCGGGCACAGCTGGAAGGGAGTGAGGCTCAGCCCCAGGCCCTTCTTCCTTTTTCTGCCCCTCCTCTGTCCCCAGAGGTGAACACCAGCCAGCCAGCTGGTGGCCCTTCTCTGAACAGCGACAGTCTTGAAACTCAATTCAAACAGCCAGACAGAGGGCATTGTGACGTGGACTCTGTCTGCATCGAGGGGATGTGGCCGTAGTTTCCAAAGGCCCAGGTGTGTGTGTGTGTGACTGGTCAGGGTGGTGTCCCTACCCCTCTGCTTAAATATGAGCAGCATCTCCATGACCCTGTGGTTATCAGCCCCTTACATATCCCTCTACACCTGGGACAAGGGTTTGATATTAACCCACCTCCAGCTATTGAGTCGTGGTTAAAGAAACCCAAAGGATTTCCCACGTTCCTGACCTGACAGAGATTTCTTGGTAGGGAGGTGGAAATGAAGATAAAAATGTCTGAGCAAGAAGGACTTACTGTGGACGCCGGGCAAGCTCTGTGCTCTGTCAGACAAACCTACAACCAAAGAGAAGGGGCTGAGAAGAAAGACACCCTGCGGGGATCTGTGAGCTCAAGGACAGGAGAGAGGGGGCTCCTCCCATCCACATCCCCCCACACCGCTTCCCGCTGCCCCTGCCATCCAGTCCTGGGGCCTCTGGGAAAGGGCTGCTAGGCAGACCCAGGGCGCCCCCAGAGCTGCACAGGGTCTGGCACTGCAGTCATTTGTTTGTCTACTTTTCTTAGCCATACCTCTCCCCCAGCCTTGTGCTTCCTCCCTGCACTCGTTCTCAGAGGGTTGTTTGGGCCCCCAGCAGGGAGATAAAGTCCTTGGGGATGTCACTGTAGGGACCTGAGTCCTGCCTCCCTGGGGCCAGGAGCCTCCGCTGTGGCTGGAAGCAGGGATCCTGCTGCCCCACAGCGCCACCTCCTGGCTTTCGGTCACAGTTTTGAAATTGGCAGGTTCCTAGGCCCTTTGACTCAACTCACTGAGCTCTGGACCCTGAGACCTTCTGCATCATACAGACTCCTGAGCCTACCAGGTCCCTGGCAATCAGCCCTCCCATGGCGGGGCCCAGGTCCTCGCGCTCTGATGTGGCCTGTGGTTTCTTTCCCCAAAGTCACGAGCAGCCAACTTTGGGGGTGAGATTTCAGATGCTTTGTAGCGTGGCTTTTCCTGTGTTGTCTGCTCCTTCGGCTGCAGGAAGACCCTTGGCTGGCTCCTGGCTGGCTGAGAGGGCACGGGAGGTGGGACTTTGGTGGACTCCAGCCCGAGACAAAGATATTAGCCCCGGAAGAAGCAGCTTGAGGAGGAAAGGAGAAAGAACCCCCAAGAACAGGGTGACAGTCCCTCCCGTGTGACTGGGGCACTGCGAGCCATGTCTGTGGTCTCAGCGCTTGTCAGGAGGCCACTCTTACTCTTAAAAATGTTCTGGTTTGAAGGATTTATCAGTGTGTCACCCCTCCAAATACCCACCCAGGGAGGGAGGACCCAGGGACTCAAGCACGGACTAGGGCCCAGCTATTCCATCAGCTGCCGAGTTTGAGAACTTGGCTGTGAGTTCTGCACTTGCTACAGAACTCTGAGAAAATATGATTTCAGAGGGTGGGGATGTCAACATGTAGGACCTCCCAGGGCCAGGCCAGACCGGGGTGCAAAAGGCTGCACTCACTCAGCAAGCAGCCCACCCCATCACAACAGCAGACACAGGGACCGACAGGTGCTCAGACACAGGTGCCAAAGCAGTCCGCTTGGCCCTGAAACAGTGAATCATGCCTGGGAGCCAAATGGGTTCCCTAGACCCCAACCTTCCCTCCACCCACTCCTCACCTGCCCCTGGCAGCCGCCCGCAGAGGGACCGGATCACTTTGGCACTTCCGAAGCGCTTGAAGCGGGCCCTCACGTGCCCGTAGTACCACTCCAGGGAGCCCATCTTCACGACTCTGCGGAGAGATGGAGCCCAGGCCTGAGGCACTGCTGTGCCCAACCACCATGCACAGGTGCCCTTCTTCAGATAGCCACTCCCCAAAGGGACAAGCCACCCCTCAAAACCATCAGGGTCCTGGATCTCCAGGCCCAGCTCACCTGGCCAAGTGGCAGGGGTGGCAGAGCCAGCCCTCTTCCCCGGGGTGGGCGTCGTGGCTGCAGCTTTGGCAGGCGAAGAGGTGGCAGTCCAGGCACTGCTGCTTGGGGCCCTCCAGCAGCCGGTAGGGCTGCAGGCAGTGGGCACAGTGGGTGTCGTTCATGTGGGTCGCGTCAGAGACCAGCTCCCTCTGGGAGCTCTCCTTCTTCACCTTGCCCTTCAGCCCCCTTAGGGAACAGCAGAGACAGGAAACAGGTTGGACACCTTCCTGCAACAGTCTGAGTGTGTGAGCACAGACACGGAAGCCTTCTCACTCACCAACACGCTGGGTTCAAACGTGCAATAGGGGCAGGGGGAACTTATTTTTACAGACATGAAATGGCATTTAAACCTTTCTGTGACTGTGTACAATTGTGCATTTTCCCAGGATGCACATGCTTGACTTTCACAAGTTGTCAAAGGAGCCACAAACCACAAAAGTTCCGAGTCACAGGCTGGGGCAGGTCCCACCATTGCCTGCACCACCTCATGTAGCTTAGCATAACAGAAAGAGACGGTCAGGGATCCTGGGCCCACGTTCAGGTTGGAGGTACAGGGCCCACGTTCCTTCTCCAGCTCTGAGCCGGAGCCCTGAGCTTGCTAGTGCAGAGCTCAGAGCTGGGGGTACCGAGCTGAGGTGTCCTGGTTGGCTGGGTGAGCATGGACATGGTCATGAGCATCTGGTGTCTAGTCTGCCTTAGATGGGGTGGGTTGGTGGCTCTGGGAAGCCTGGCAGGGATCAAGCCAATGGTTCTGGTCCTAGACCATCGGGGCTGCAGAAACAGCTTCCTCATGAACCCGCCAACTCAAACTGCCTGGGAACACGTCCTCTTTGTTCTACCTCAGAGAACGTCTGCCAGATGTAATATTTCAGTTTCAGATGAGATCAAATGAATCTGTTCTTAGTGACACAATTGGACAGACACAATGCTATTTTCCTTTGAGGAGGCTGCACGATGGCTTTTGATGGGGCAGTGGTTAGGCTGCGGACAATGGAGGGATTCCGAGGAGCTCCGGAGACCAGCAGACCAACGCTGGATAAGGTGGGGTTGACCGCACCTCATCGATTTCCCTCTCCCAAATGATATGAAAATACTCACCAAGTTAGACACAAAAATAAGACTCCTGTCTCAGCTTTGAAACCGTACACAACACACACATACACACTCACATAAACATACACACATATACACATACACACACAAGGGCCAAGTGTATAAAACTAGGGGGATATTGTCAGCCACTGACCACAGTATTAATAAAGCTGCATGGACAAGGCCAAGTCTTTGCCTCAAACAGAAGATCATAAGCCCCTGGAACCAGGGGGGAAGGATCCGGTGGCTTCCATTGCCATTCTTTTTTCCCCCCAATAGTAGTTTGTTCACTCTTGCAACAAATATTTAACAGGTAAGTGCCTGCTACATGCATCCTCTGAGGGTTATTATAAAAAGTAAGGGAAATAATATACCTACAGTACCTAGCACATGCTGACCATCAGTAAGTATTCAGTTAATGGTAGCTTCTATTATTGTTGTCATTATCATCCCGAAAACCTTTTCTTTTCTTTTTCTTAATTAAAAAAAAATTCTCCTCCCCTCCCCCGCTTTCCACTCTTGCTGTATCTGCATCAGCCAGAAAACCTAGAGGCCACCCCTTTGCTGATGGGGCCTTACATGGTCTGGCTTAACCCCTTTGCCTTTGAGGCAGAGCTGTCCCCTGTCCCCTCCCAGCAGGAAAAAAGACAAGAGGATATGGAGGCACCCTGTGTGGGCGGTGGGGGTAGGGTTGGCTGGAGACATATATTTTGGGTGCAGAATTGGGGGAAAAGATAGTTATATTCCACTCAGACTCTTTCAAGCATTACATCCCTTCTTCAGAGCTGGAGAACAGGAGGCCCCGTGGGGGTGCAACAGAAGAACCCCAGGTGATGCCTGCAGCGCAGGACACACCAACCCCTCCTGGAACTTCAGATCAGGAGGAGGTGAGTGGGGCCAGAGCCACCACACGCTGACACCAGTTGACCAGATGTCTCTGCACTACAGTAGGCAAAAGCTCAACATGCAGCTACAACTGAGAACCACCTTCTAGAATAGAAGACACCTCCAATGAGATTTACTGTCAGAAACTGAGGAGGACTTGAAACGGTCTGCCTGGTGTGCTAATTAGGGCAAGAGACAAAGGAGCAGGTGACAAAGAGCCAGGCTGAGATGGAAGGAGGCTAGTGTCAAGGGGTTGCTGTCCTCCGAGAGCAGGTGATTTGATGCAAGGATTCCCCCTTTCACCTCCCAAGACAGGAGGAGGAAGGGACTGGATGTGGAGGGAGAAGGCTAGAGGGGCATGGAGATGTCACACCCCCATGTCCTTGGGCTCCCTATCTCGGGTTTGAATCCAGTGGCTTTTGGCCAAGTCTGCGTGTGTTACCGGCGGGGGCTCATGGCCCTCAAGGGGACAGAGTTGATGGGGTTTTGGCTCCACACACTGTCCACTGGCTCCTGGCTAGTCTCTGATGCAGAGTTGAGGGTCAAGTCTGCTTCCAGGGTGGGGACCATGCAGACTTGGCCAAAAGCAGGGGTGGGGATGAGGGGCTCTGAGAGAGAAGACTGCACCCAGAGAAGAGGTCAGAGCAGCGCCTGAGATACGGACCCCATAAGCTTAGGAGTTCTTGCTGACTGAGGGCGGGGACATACAGGTGAGGTGAGGTAGGTAACAAATGAGCTAGCTGTTCTCTGCACAGCTTGGCTGGGTGGGCATGAGTCTCGGCCCTACCCTAGGACAGCGACCACCTGAGAACACACGAGCGCTCTCCCGACCAGGACACAAGAGGAGCTGGACCTTCCGATTCTTGTTGGCCACACACACTTGGACACAGCCAAGCAGTTACAGTGGCTGCTCCAACACATGTCCACAAAGGTAGTGGCTTAAAGCAACACCAGCTTATTACCTTACAATTCTGAGATCAGAGATCTGACCTGGGTGTTCCTGGGCTGAGATGGAGTTGTGGGCAGGACTGTGATCCTTCTTGGAGGCTTTGGGTCCTGTCCTCTTTCTTGCCAGCTGCCAGGGCTCCTGTATCCTCTGTCCGGCCCTTCCTCTGTCTACAGAGCTGGCTGTGGTGGCTGAGTTCTTCTCACGGGTCAAGTCTGACCCCAAGGAGGGGGCTGTAGCCCAGAGAACCAAGTCACAGAGAAGAGATGGATTTATTAAAAGTAAGGCGACTGCACGAAACCTGCCTGCCAGAGGTCGCCGCTGAAGGAGGCAGACCTGGTGCAGTCAATACTGGGCAGCAGAGATGGGATTCTAGGTCCCTGGCACCCGCGCAGACGCCGGGAATCAGTGTGGGAAGTGGGACTTGCTGGCGCTCTCTGAGGTCCTCTGAAGAGACTGGCTGATAGCGACAAAAATGAGGAAGGGAACAGTGGTGGCGGCGAACGAGGCACTGAGAGCCCTGAACCTCCTGAGCGATGGATCATGCACCAAACTCCAGGCCCTGCTGCCTGCTCACTCCCTGCTCCAGTCCCTGTCTGTTCAGCCCTGGAGTCCTGTCTGGTGCCAAGTGGCCCGCCTAGTGGTAACATCCAATTCTTTATTGTTGTCATTGTTATTATGTTTTTAAGGTATGCCACAGTCTGCCATGTTTCATGGTTATCTCAGGAACGCAGGCCTGTTTACAGACGTTACAGATGCCTGCCACCAGCTGTTTGCCTTTTCGGGGCAGACTCCCAGGCCTAATATTTGACTTGTGGGTCGGCCCCTGAAACAAGGCGTCGCTTAGGTAAGCTGTCATCCTGCCCAGGGGCGTGAGTCCCCAGCTCCCTCTCTGCAGTGTCATTCTCTGGGTTTAGGAAAACCCAGTAACTGTAAACACAGTTTAGAAGCCCCTGGACAGCACAGGGAGAGTGACTAGAGGACCTCAGCTGAGCAGAGAGAAGGCGGGGCGAAGGTCAGCTGTGAGTACGTGGGCCCCAGTGCACCAGCTGGAGGCCTGCTTCTGCCCCAGGTCCAGGCTGGTGGGCTACTACTGAGCTCTAGGTCTTCCAGATGGAGGGGGTTAAGAAGGTGGGTCAGCTGACTGGATGCTCCCCTCAAGAAGTTTACCTTGGTGCTCCTTTGTGTTTATGTGCCATTAAACATGAAACATGATTATCTGTCTGTACTTAAAGCCTTTTTAACACTCAGTTAACACGAATGACTGCAGAACACTCATAAGATAAATAATACAAAGGGCCCCACCCATATCCCCACTGTGAGCAACCTCTGGCTATTCTTTAGAGCCGGGACCGCCTAGTCCTCAGTGTCCTCCTCTGAGACTGGGGAGAACACAGCAGTCACATTGTGGTGTTGTCTGAGCAGTAAATGAGGTGTTGTGAGGTGTGGTGGCTATTTTATTTTATTACTTTTTTTCTTTCATCCACCCCCCACCACCCTCTCCTTTGGTAACCATCAACATGATGTCTGTTTTGTTTATTCGTTTTTAAAAATTCACATAGAAGTGAAATCATCTGATATTTGTCTTTCTCTGACTTATTTCACTTAGCATAATACTCTTTAGGTCCATCTATTTAGTCGTAAGTGGTTAAGATTTCATTCTTTTTCATGGCTGAATAATATTCCATTGTGTGTATGTAGCTCATCTTTGTCTATTTGTCTATTGATGGGCATTTAGGTTGCTTCCATATCTTGGCTATTGTAAATAATGCTGCAATGAACATATAGGGGTGTATATATGTTTTCAAATCAGTTTTTTTTTCTTTGAATAAATACCCAGAAGTATTATTATTATACTTGGTTGAATGGCAACTCTATTTTCAATTTTTTGAGGAATCTCCATGCAGTTTTCCACAGTGGCTGTACCAGTCTGCATTCCCACAAACCGTGCACGAAGGTCCCCTTTTCTCCACATCCTCAGCAACACTTGTCGTTTGTTCATTTATTGATGATAGCCATTCTGACAAGTGTGAGGAGATATCTGATTGTGATTTTAATTTGCATTTCTCTGATGATTAGTGATGTTGAGCATCTTTTCTTATGTTTATTGGCCATCTGTATGTCCTCTTTGGAGAAGTGTCTATTCAGGTCCTCTGTCCATTTTTTTATTGGATTTTTTTTTTAATTTGGTGTTAAGTTGTACAAGTTCTTTATATATTTTAAATATTAACCCCTCAGCAGATGTATTATTGGAAAATGTCTTCTCCCATTTATTAGATTTTTTTTTCTTTGTTGATATTTTCCTTTGCTGGACAAAAACCTTTTTAGTTTGATGGAGTCCCATTTGTTTATTTTTTCTTTTGTTTCCCTTGCTAGAGGAGTTATATCCAAAAAGATATTACTAAGACCAATATCAAAGAACTTACTGCTTATGTTTGTTTTTTTTTCTAGGAATTTTATGACTTCAAGTCTTACATTTAAGTCTTTAATTCATTTTGAGTTTATTCTTGTATGTGGTGTAAGAGGTTGGTCCAGTTTTTCCTCTTTTGTCATAGATTTATTGACTATGTATTGTAAGTGCCGACTTATTTTTGGGCTCCTTATTCTATCCCATTGGTTTGCACATCCGTTCTCATGCCAGTATGATGCTGTTTTGATTATTGTAGCTTTGTAGTACATTTTGAAACCAGGGAGCGTGCTTCCTCCCACTTCGTTCTTTCTCAAGGTTTCTTTGTCCAAGATTAGCTGATGTTCTCCACAAGAACTAAATCCCACGGGGGAAGGAAGGATTTAAAGAGAATGTGAACAGCAAGAAGGTTGCTTTCCCAAAAGGCCTTCTGCTCTCAGTAGCTGGTTTCTTACATCAGAGGCTGGAATCACCTCACTTGTTCCATGTCCTTCCCCCCTATCTGCTTCCTTCCAGCACATCATACACCCGCAGGACAGGGAAGCCAATGCCACTGGAGCGTCAAATATGGAGGAGCCCCTTTGAGCAAAGTCTCTGTTGTCACAGTCCCTCTTCACACAGGGAGGTGGCCGCACCCATGGCTCACAGCCCAAGCCCTGCACCGGGCAACAGACTTGGCATCAGGATGTCCGTTCTCTCCCACAAATGTCAACCCTGTTCTAAGATTCAAAGTTCATCCACAGCAAGACCCACGTCCCCATTGCCAACGCCCTGCCCGGATTCTATCCTAAATCCTTCTGATGCCAACATTGGTAATGTCCAAATCTTGTACATCTTTGAATTTTTTATTGTTTGGTGCCCAGCACTATAACCTGCTGGGAAGCCAGGAAGAACATCACGCCCTGTACAGTAAACACCCCACTCCCAGGTCCCTGGTAGAAGACGCCAACTTCAGGGAGAGATTTTATCTGCCTGGGCTAAGGGAAAGGCGAGGTGGCCTCCACTTCCTTCTTCTCCACTTCCTGAAGCTGCCTGCCAGGGGCCGTGCCACTCAGGAGCCAAACCCCGAGGGAAATTCCTTCCTGGCAGCTCAGAGGAAAGGCACACACGAGGTCAGTGCTGTTGACAACCCTGTTCCCTGGAATAAACAGGGATTCACTTAGGGGGTTCACGGTGGAGAGGGTCAAGGCCTCCCGCCCCTGTGCCCAGGGGGACTTTGAAGGTCTCTGGCACAGCCTGGGGAGCCTGAGGCCTGGCCCCAGGGGCAAAGGCTTTGTGTCTTGGGGACAGTCTGGTCATACAGGGGTTAGTGAAACGGGTCTCACAGCCCCATGGCCTTCTATGTCAGGGACCTGGGCAAGCTCATTTGTCAGTGCCGGGAGGTCCACTGATCTCACAGTGCAGGGAGGTGCCGGGTCTCCCCCAAACCTGCCCAATGTCCTTTCCAGGGGACAGATGCTCCTATTTGGGGAGAAATCCACCTAATACTTATTTCTGTTAAATCTGTAAATATGAAAAGAAACACTTCTTTTGGTCTTTGTTTTCAGTTGGCATACATAAGTTATCTGCTTAGCAAGTTACCTTTTGGCAAATTTGCTCTTGGTGAACTGACCTTGAGCCCACATGCTGTGTCCATAAACTCCGGACAGGGAAGTGATCTCCAAGGAATGAGCATGTTTGCTTTTTTTATTTCACAATCTCCACTAATTACTGTGCTCTGTTACCTGCTTTCTCCCAGACCTGGTCTAACAGGGGCCTTCCCCAGGGGAGGGGACAACTCCATCCTCTCAGTTCCTCAGGCCATGACCTTGGAGTCACCTTGGATTTCTCCCATATTCTCCACCCCACATCCAATCTGAGGGCAAATTTGCTGGCTCTCCCTTCGGCTCAGTAACACACAGCCTGTAGAGCGGAGGTCTGGTCCCACTAGTCCTCTGCTCCACGGCCTCCAGGTCAGCAGAGGCCTGAGAGCAAGACCCAGGTCCGGTAAAGATCCACGGAGCCCACGTGATGCCACCACGACCTCCTCTCCCTGCGCTGCCTGGAGCCCCTTTAGGCATTCTCTTGGCTACTCTCTCACCTCCTTGAGTCTTTGCTCAAATGTCTCCTTCTCAGTAGGCTACCAACCTCCCAAAATACCCAGAAAAGATAACTTCGTTGGAACCAAGTGTTGGGAGGTTGGGAAGAACATGCAAAGGGGCCGGAGGGAGATAAGAATGCCAGGGGGCTTTCACTCAGTTGGATGGGGGCCACCCATGCTATCAAAAACGAAGGTGGGAAGTCAGCCTCCACTGCAAACTCCTAGACCGCAAACTCCTCAACCTCAAACCCCTCAATCACAACTTTTGGGTGTTTCAGAATGGACCCAGTCATTACCCCTTTGTCACTGTTAATTCTTGCACTGTGGTGGTCCCAGCATCACCGGGTTTGGGGACAACGCTACCCTGGGAGCTGGATCAAGCTGAAATAAAACTGCTGAAGGCCCACCTAAAAGTCAGGTTGCACCCTCGTTTTAATTATGAGGAAACTGATGCCACCCACCCACCCAGGGAGCCCCGGGGAGACTGGAGTGTCCTAGGGCTCAGCCCCACGCACTTACTCCAGTCTCTCCTCTTCTTTCCGCCTCAGCTCGAAGTCCCGCTGCACCACTTCCCAGACGTGCTTGGCCTCTTCATCCGTGAGCTTGGAGAGGTCCAGCTTCTTCCCCATCTCGGCTCCTCGTCAGGCTCACACCTGGGAAATCACAGGATCACAGCGTCAGCCCAGAAGCCCGCGATGCTGGCTGATTTTCTGAGCACCAGGCAACACCCAGAGTCCGGGCTCCCAGGCGGCCTGTCGGTATCTGGGCTAAACAGGCAACTAAACGACCCTGTGTAGAATTCCCACACCCTGCCGAAACTGGTTTGGCTTAGTGGTAGAGCGTTGGTCTGCGGACTGAAAGGTCCCGGGTTTGATTCCGGTCAGGGACATGTACATTGGTTGTGGGCACATCCCCAGTAGGGGCTGTGCAAGAGGCAGCTGGTTGATGTTTCTCTCTCATTGACATTTCTAGCTCTCTGTCTCCTTTCCTCTCTGTAAAAATCAATAAAATATATTTAAAAAATTAAAAAAAAAAGAATTCCCACACCCTACTTTTAAAAGGGATTGAGCCAAAATCGGTTTGGATCAGTGGCTAGAGCGTTGGCCTGCGGACAGAAAGGTCCCAGGTTTGATTCCGGTCAAGGGCATGTACCTTGGTTGCTGGCACATTCCCAGTAGGAGGTGTGCAGGAGGCAGCTGATCGACGATGTTTCTCTCTTGTCCATGTTTCTAACTCTCTATCCCTCTCCTTTCCTCTCTGCAAAAAAAAAAAAAAAAAAAAAAAAAAAAAAAAAAAAATATATATATATATATATATATATATATATATATATATATATTTAAAAAAATGAAATAAAAGGGATCAACTTCCGCCTCCTGGATCTCATACCTGTAGACCCGAGTTCCTAATCCTCTTTTCACTGTGGCGTAAGTGTCCATCATGCCTCCTTCCCCCTGACCTAGGCTGTGCTTTGTGATGGGACCCCAGGTGTGATCTCGGGGTCCTGCTTAGTGGTCCTGGGAGCCGGAACAGCCTTGCTCTGGGGCATGATTTATTGGATGAGGTTCCGCTGTGGAGACTGACCGTTTGTAAACCACCTATGACTTCACTGGGGCCTGAAATCCATCTTCCCGGGAATGTCCGAGAAGGGGCCAACCATCAGCTCTCCTGGGGGAGCCCTCACGTCAAAGGGAAGACTCCACTGGCGGCTGAACACGGGGAGCGTCACCCTCAGGCTGCTGACCCTGAAAGTGCTCACTGTGGGGACAGACTCCCATTTTTGCATACGAGGTTAATTATGGAAAGTAACATTTTCCAAGCAGCACTTGGGCACCCTTTGAGATGAAAATTTCCACGGAGATTGCATGCTGTCAACTAGAATGCCCCCTGGCTTGTGCCTTAACCTTGATGGAAAGCAGCTTCCATTTTCTGCCCAGCCCCTCAGGGTCTCCACCTTCAAGCTCAGTCTGACTGCGAACACCCATGGGGAGGGACCCTGAGTGCCAGGATCATCCAAACTGGCCTCGTTAGACTTGAATTTAGATTCTGGGCCAGAAAACATGAAAACAAAATGGATTTTTTGATGCTCCCCAGAGCATACAGTTTCTGGATTAAAAAAAAGAAATTGGAACAAAAAGTTATTTGATGGATGACTGGGATGTATTCAGTTCTATTTCTTTTACCACATTTGAAGAAAAAATGTATCCTAAGAAGCTCATTCTTTGAAATCCTATTTTCAGAGCAGTTGAGAGTGCATGACCATCAGCTGAGCAGTGACACTCCCCTCCTGGGGAGAAGGCCCACGCTGGCTCCTGGCTGCCCAGAGCAAGGCCTGCCGGGGACATGCTGAGACGGGACCAGGCGGCCACAGCACAGGGAGGCACACAGGGTACCCGCGTCCACGGGAACCCTGGCATTTCAGCCTAATGCCATCTTGGAGGCCCCAACAATGAGCCTGAGTTCTTGAGGAAAGTGACATGTGTCCACGTACTCTGTTTAATAAAACAGTGATGTGGGATATACATTTTGAAACATGCATCCCACATGGCTAAACCAAGACCACACACACTATTGTGACTTCATGAATTAGACATTACCCGAAATTTTTTTACCCAAGTGCTTATTTTTGGTTCTGGCCCAACTATAGGGTGAGCAGCAGGGGCAGGGAGAGGACTGGAGGGAAGGGACTCCAAGCTCAGACTCGGCCTCGGAGGAGGCTGTGCCATGCGGCCCAGAGGCAATGCTTCGAGGGTGCTGCTCCTAGGACAGCCGGGGTTGAGGGCTAATGGTCCTCAACATGTTCTTTATATGTTGTGGCCCTATCTCCCCATTTAGTGGATTAACAAATGCTTAAAGCTTAAGAAAAAAAAACAACACCTATGTTCAGAAAATAATATTTAAAAAATATATATTTTATTGATTTCTTACAGAGAGGAAGGGGGAGAGAGGTAGTCAGAAACATCGATCAACTGCCTCCTGCACGCCTCCTACTGGGGATGTGCCCGCAACCAACCTATGTGCCCTTGACCAGAATTGAAACCGGGACCCTCAGTCCACTGAGCCAAACTGGTTTCGGCTAGAAAATAATCTTAGGTTGAATGAAGAATATGTTTGACGTCAGCATTTAAAATACAACCCCCCTACCCCCCAATTCACTGGGATTTTAGGGGATGTATTGCAGGTACCTCCTCTGGCTGGGACATGGATGGGCACACTTGCAGTAGGGGGAAGAACCAGCCCCTCTGCCAGGCACAGCCTTGCCGGGGCACCTGTGTGGGCTCAGGGAGGGGACAGCCTTTCAGCCCATCACTCCCTGCTTCCTTGCTCACCCAGGCCCCATCTTCACCTGGGACCCCTGACCCACAATAGTCAAGGGCAGCCCAGGGAGGGTGCAGGGCTGCTCTGGCCCCTGGCCCGGGGAGACACCCCAGGGCGCACACGTAGGGAGGGCAGACTCCACCCACCAGCCTCTATCTGCCCCCGCCCCATTTTGGTGGAGATAACTCCCAGTCATGAGGTTCCTGAATAAAATGCTTTCAGTTTGGGCCTGTTCCACTGCTCAGAGCTAATCACGCTTTTAATCTTTGAGGCTGTTAGCCTTCCCCCATCACTAGATAGTTACAATGGAGAGAAGAGGGGCTGACATGGAGGGGAAAGGGTTGGAAAGACACAGCGGAACTGGTTTTATAAAACGAATATCCCGGACCCAGAATACAGAATCTCAATGGGGTGTCATCTTTATTGTTCAAGGTTTGATATGAGTTCACACTTTGGCTGAATTAAAGGGAAATCTGGGAGGGGGTTCCTCCTTCATGACACTTGGCTCAACTACATCTCCGTGGGCTGCTCCCTAAGCCTTGGGGCAATGGTGATTATGAGCAGTCGCTGCCTGAGCAAACAAAACCAGGGAGCCAGTCAATGTCTCCACGAAATGCCCAGCTGAGTGGCAGGAATGCCCGCTGACTCAGAATCCAGGTGTAAGGTGCTGTTCCTGCTGATAAAGGTGCAGGCACACTCCTGAAGGAAGGTGCCAGTTGTGGGGTCTCTGCATTCACCTTTGTGGCTGTTTCCCAAATGCTGCCCCCAGAGCTGACCACTGGTAGGAACCAAGCCCCCAGGCCTCATCAGCTGCAAAAGGACCACATTCCTGAGGGGAGTCCCCTCCCCGTGCACCTGCACCGCACACCTGGGGTACAAGGAGAGGCTCTGAGGTCACTCCTGCCGCACTGACACGGTGGCCACTCTGCAGCCTGCCCCCTCCCTCTGCCCCCCCTCCCAGGCCCCTCATTTATACACGGACACAGGCCCTGCATTTGTAGTGAAGGCCTCAGCTCCAGTGTCCTCAGCAAGGGTGGGTCCCAGGCTGAGGCTGCAGGGCAAGGGGGGCTGAGAGTCAGGAGCTGGCTTCCCATCCCAGTCAGGCACCAGCCGGCCCTGTGACCTGGGACACGTTCCTGGGTCTCAGCTTTCCCATCTGCACCATGGACAACGGTCGGGCCCCCTGACCTCTCCGGCCCTCTCCAGCCCTGTAGCATGTGGGATGTTAGAACAGAAGGGGGTGGAGGAGGGGAGCTTTTCCTCCAGAGGTAGCTTCTGAAAGAATGAGATAGTGAGACCTAGAAGACTGACCCAACCACATGAGCAGCCACTGCTTTGTCATCCACCTTTGCCACCAGCCTACTTTAACCCCCAAGCCTCCCACCAGCCCCACTCGGCTGCTGGCAACTTCTCCGTCACTAATGCCTTAACCAGTAAGACCCCTGCCTGCTCCTCTGGGCGCCTGGCACTGTCCTCGCCCGCGGGCCAATGTCCTGGCTCTGCTCCCATGGTCTGCAGGCTCTGGCTCTCTCTCTGGATTTCACCTCCACGGGCAGGGTCAGCTTTTGCAGCTAGTGGACTACTGGGGGCCTCCCCCCCAACCCCCGTTATCACTCCAACCTCTCAGAAAGAAATATGTATATAAGATTAAAACAAACAAACAACACACACCACACACACACACACATACACACACACACACACAAAAACCCAAAAAACAAAAAAGATCTAAAAGCCCCAATCCAACTGAAAATGAAGTGAGTTTTTAAATTTGGTGGAGGTCTGAGCCTATGACATCTTTGGGGATTTATGCAGACTCTCCCCCTAGCTCTACAACAGGGTGCCTGGACGGGGATGGAGCCTGGCAGCAAACCCAAGAGGAGTCGGATAAACCTGGGGCTTCTGGAGGTCAGGGCGCCTCCTCCCCTGCCAGGACACCCCCAGGGCCCTGACCCCAAGACCTGCAGGGCAGCAGCCCAAGAGGAAGTATTTACCCAAGCAGCCTTGGCCCCTGGGCGTCCAGCCCAGTGCGAATCCTCTGAGGTCCCAGCCCCAGCTCAGTCTGCCCCCTCCCTCCCCCTCACCCCAATAGGGTTTCTAGTTAAAAGCACAGTTTTCCTCAAAGTGACCTGCTCATCAGAGTATCCGGGTGAGGTTTGGGGTTCTGAGGGCTGAGCAGGATTTCCTCACCAGCCTGGAACGGCCAGGGGGTCACTGGGGGCGTCACCAGTGCCCAACCGTCCCCTCTTCTCCCCGCACTCACCACCTCTCTCCCTGGCCGCGCGGGCCCTGCTTTGGATGAACCTCTAGGGCGCACTGGGGCAGCGGGGCGCAGCGCACAAGGCAGGAGCTCGGACTGCCTGGGCCTGGCGGGCAGCGGGAGGTCCGGGTGCTGCCAGCTGGGTCACGTGGGCTGCGCCCCGCCCGGCTCCGGGAGCGCGGGCACCTCCGGGTGCAGGACCGGGAGGAGGGCCGAGCAACCCCTGTGCCCGCGCAGGAGACGCCCGTGCGCGGCCTCTGGCTCCTCGCCCCAGGCCAGCTTGGGGAGAAAGGCGGCGGCAGGAAGGGGGTTGAGCCCACAGCTGGCCAGTCCCGTGACTTTGCGGGCCATGCAGCCGCGGGTCCTGCGCTCAGTGCCAGGGCGCTCTGGAGCCTGAACGCTCCGCGGAGCGCGGGGCTCCCCGTTTAACTCCCGCCCCAGGGTTGCAGGGAGGACGCTGTTTACTAAGGCTCTACAGGTGGGGAAACCGAGGCTTGGAAAGGGCCTTAGACGAAGACGCGGACTAAGTGGGAACACTAGCTGGGAAGTGGGACTTTGAGCCCAGGGTTTCCGTGCGCAGATTCCGTGCCCCCCTCATGGCCTTCCATCCTGCCTGGCCTCAGGACGCCCCTGGACCGGGAGCGCATGGCGCCCGAAGCCCCTCCGCGGGGCGGGCACCCAGTCGGTGCCCACCAGGAAAGGTCCACAAGCCGCAGAGTCCGGTCCGCGCGCAGACGGGGCGGGCGCACTCGGGGACGTGCGCCTGGGCTGGGCCTCCTCCTCCAAGCCCTGCGCTGGCTCCCGGGCGAGTCACACTCGGTCCTTCTCAGGTGCAGCCGCCTCTGGAGCTCACCGGGCTTGCACCTCCTTCCAAATCCCATCTGCCCTCTCTCCTCCAGACATGGGCGCAGAACAGCACTCTGCCTTCCTCTCTGACCATTAAAATTAAACAAAAATACATCCTTTCCCCTGCAACTACTTTTGTAGCTCAGTTTCCATGTCTGCACAGTGAGGACAGGAATACAAATAAATACAATACATAGTCAACGGTGTCAGGTGAACAGTTATCTCCATTTTCCGAGAGAGGAAACTAAACCTTATTATAGGACTGTGGTGAGGGCGGGAGCCCAGGAGGTGAACTTGGGTATCTCAGGCCCCAGGACTTTATTAGGATGGCGGCTGGAACCAAATACCACCAACCTGTCTGTGCAAACCCTGGAGATGAGAGCAACTTACACCAGTTTCCACAGCCCATGCGAGTGGTTCTTATGTCTTTCATTCCTTACCATACACTTTACAATTGCTTGCAAAATGAATACCCTCTTCCCCAAATTGGCATTGGAACGGTAAGTTCCTTAATGGTAGATTTTTGTTGTTGTTAATCCTCCCCTGAGGATATGTTTTCTTGTTGTTGTTTGTTTTTTTAGAGAGAGAGTGGAAGGGAGGGGGAGAGACACACACACAGAGAAACATTGATGTGTGAGAGACACATCCCGAAAGGGCAGGGGTTGGAGCCTGCAACTGAGGCAGGTGCCCTTGACAGGAATCAAACCCGTGACCCTTCAGTCCGAGGGCCAACGCTGTAACCACTGAGCCAAATCTGGTAGGGCCTTAATGGTAGATTTTAAAAATGTTTCTTTATACTTTAGTATTTATTTATTTAAATTAGCATGTTTTCAAGATGTATAAAATGGTATGTGGTGATAAAGATATATGGTAAAGAATATAAACAGTAGAGATGGAAAGTCAGGTTTTCTTATTCCTCAGAGGCCATCATGATTAATAGTGTCAGTGTTTTCTTCTGCAGTTCGTGTGTGTGTGTTTGTGTGTGTTTGTGTGTGTGTGTGTGTGTGTGTGTGTGTGTGTGTGAAACATGTGGGCTTGCCAAGCAACTGCAAGAATTAGACACAGGACTGGATGTGTTATCCTGGCTGTGTTTACAGAAATCTGCCCTCCCACCTCTTCAAGGGCAGCTGGTGCTGATGCCCAGTTCCAGAGTTTAATGGTAAGGGGCCCAGTGTAGGTTTTCAGGATAATAAGAAGAAACAGGCTGTCCAGTTAAACTTGAATTTTATAGAAACAATGAACAGAGTTTTTTGTTTTGTTTTTTAGTGTAAGTGCATTCTAAATATTTCATGGGTATACTTATTTATAGAAATATGATTTATTTATCTAAAATTCAAATTGAATTGGGCATCTTGTGTAGACCCTAGAGTTAATAAGGGAACACCCTGAAAAGGTTTCTATGCCATAGTCAGCATCCTTACAGGGGATGGTGGAGCCCTGTGCCCTGGGATGGGGACATTTGGGTGGATGAGTCTGAGTTTAAACCCCTTGGTTCCCCAGAGCCCTCTGGGCACAGAACAGTCCCCTTCCTCTTCCCAGAGGTGCTGGTGCCAGGGCACTGTGTGAAACCTCCCCTCAGATGGACATCTTACAATAGGATGCTTGTTCCCAAGACCTGTCCCCATCTCTCCTTGTTTCCTCTAGAGCAGTGGCTCTCAACCTTCCTAATGCCGTGACCCTTTAATATAGTTCCTCATGTTGTGGTGACCCCAATCATAACATTATTTTCGTTGCTACTTCATAACTGTAACTTTGCTACTGTTATGAATCGTAATGTAAGTATCTGTGTTTTCCGATGGAGGTTGAGAACCATTAGCAGGGTCACCTAAGACCATTGGGAAACACAGATATTTACATTACAATTCATAACAGTAGCAAAATTATAGTTATGAAGTAGCAATAAAAATAGTGTTATGGTTGGGGGTCATCACAACATGGGGAACTGTATTAAGGGTCTCGGCATTAGAAAGGTTGAGAACCACTGCTCTAGAACAATGCTTAGGGCTGGGTCTCAGCAAAGCCCAGGCGGGAAAATAAAGTTCCTGCTCTGGGAATAAATGGCATTTTCAGGGACACAATCACGGTCTTGGATACTGTGTATCACCAAATGCAGGGGAAATGTGTGCAGATGGACCTCGAAGATACCACGTGGAGTTTACTGATTTGGGAGAAATCTCCTTATCTCAGGACTTGTCTTCCTGGCAAGAACACTTGGAAATTATCCCAAGACACTGCTGAGATAGCTCTGCAAAGTGTGGGCACAACGGAAATGAGGTGCAGATGCTGCAGTTGCCTTGCTAGAGCATGGAGTAAGAGCTTAGAAGGCTATGGAGCAGGAGTGAGAAGTTGGATTTATTACATAAGACCAAACACTCCTCCAGGACTCTGCTCCCTGAGGGCCCAGAGGCCCCCCTCTCCCCAGCCCCCTGAGCAAGTGACCTGGAAGGCTAACAGGGGGGCATGAGGCTCAGAGCATGGGAGGATTCTGCTCAGAATGGGAAGATGAGACAGAGGTGTGTGGGGGGACCTCGGGAGTGGGAACGATGTGTGAGTCTTGCACCTCATGTCAATGCTCACCAGAGGCCATCTACTAAAGAAGGGACACTGGACGAACAGTATGCTGTGGACATCAGCCTCTGTCCTTAGGACAGTTGAAGCCTCCTCTCTTTTCTTCCCTCTTTCTTGCATGCTAACCCCCTGCCTACTTTTGCTGAGGATACAGCAGTGAAGGTTAGAGGCATCCTCCAGGGCTGGTCCCTGACATCACCAGGACTGGCGGCCTCCGAACTAATGTCTTGTTCCTTTGGACATCCTGCCCTGGATGTCGGCTTGAGAATGGGCAGAGTGGACCCTGCAGGATGAAGCCTCATGATCAGGCAAGCCTCAAGCCCGCTTTTGGTCATTTCCTGCAGTGACTCCTCCGCACCGACAGAGGGCGAAAGAGGCAGATAGCGGGAGGCTCTCAGAGCGTGCGGAGCCCAACCACCTTCTGTGAAGGGGAGGCAGGGCCAGGGGTTTAACCCCCCGGAGGCTGACGCCGGAGCCCAGCGTCCTCTGACAGTCTCACTTTCCCCACTCGTAACATGGGACCCCGTCCTGCGCTCTGAGGCCTGAGCTCCTAGACAAGACGAGCCTTTGGTGAAGGGCAGTGCAGTGAGGGTGCGGTCTCCGTGCAAAACGAATGAGATCTCGGTACAGCGCGAATAATGCCTGCTGGCTACAGAGCTGGTCGCCTTTCACTTCCTCACAAGCAAGACTCCGTCTGCCACACCTCCCCCCACTAAGTCTACACACCACCCCCTAAGTCTGAGCCTGCAAAGGCTTTCCGTCTGTGGCCAAAGAGCTTTACTCAAATGCATAATTAAAGACAGGGATGAGGTTTTTGCTGGCGGGGAGTCCCCCAAAAGCATGCAGGCGCCCCGCCTCCATGTCTGACCCATGGGGTGGGGCGGGACCATGTCCCCCACCCCAGGAGGAGCCGGCAGTGGTTGCAGGAAGACCTGGGATCCAGGCACTCAGCCTCCCCTAGTCCTTCTTATCCCGGACCCTTGGAGCCTCTTGACACCCTCCTGGATGCATTAAACTTCTCCTTGAGCCTCGGAGCCCGCAGCCCTTTCACTAGGAGACTCGCAAGGAAAACCGAGCTGCTATCTGAATCAGTAGAAACCTGGGCCTTTAACCCCAGACCTCTGCATGTATCAGGTGACCTGTTCTTACTCCCTCCCCATGTTTGATTCCGAATGAAACCAGACCGAGCCAGAAGGAAGTTATGGAAGTCCAGCCCTCCATAAGAGCTTTTATCCACAGTAGTTACTTGAATCCTTATTTTGAGACTGTTTTTAATAGCAAATGTTACAGAAAGATCTCATTTCTTGGTGTCCCTGCCTGGTTTGCTGGTGGCCCAGGTCCCGGTATGCAGGGTCTCTTAGGAAATCATGTCCTGGCAGGGTTGTTACTCAGGACCTACTGGGAGCCACACCAGCGCTTTGCATCCTTGGCTTTCTGCTCCTGGAGTTCCCCTAAGGGAGCCCTTGAACTTCCAGGGAGGGGGAGTCAGGAGTGCTGGGACTTCCCTCTTGCCCATCCCAGAGTCAAGATCCTGGCTTGTAGCCCATTGCGGCCCTAGGGCCAGGAAGATGCAGAGGCCTCCGGGGGCCTCAGGGGATCCTCCCACAGCAGTCCCACAGCTGCTGGGTCTGACTGCCCCCCTCCCACCCCCTCTCCCACCCCTAAGGAGCAGCTACTGCTGGGAAATCCTTCTGACTCCCAGCTCCTGCTCTCCTGGCCTGAGCCCAGGTGGGCCAGTCCCTGCCTTGGGCCAGAGCAGAAGGCACTTAGGCCACAGATGCAGGGAAGGGGCAGTGGGTGGGCCAGGGGGCCTGGTAGGGGAGGGGGCCAGACATTGCTTCTAGGTCTTTGAGGCAGATGGTTGGGAACTGGGTCTGCCATGTCCTAGGAAACAATGGGAAACTGGCTGTCTGTGTTGACGGCTGAATCATCCGTGGGCTGTGTGGTTTCTGGCGTGGGGCCTGCGCTGTGGCTGTGGGAACATGTGCTCCCAGTTCCAGGCGATCGAGTGAGGGCTCTGTAGAGAAGTATTTTGAGAAGCTCTCCTCTTTGTCTGTTCACACCCAGAACCTATGACTGAGGGGCTCACCAGGGGGAGGGGGTGTGTGGTGGTGGCGGTGGTGGTGGTGGGGGACCTAGGCAGCTCTGGGACCTCCGCCTGACATCAGGATT